AATCAAAATGATGACATCAACTACATTGCCAACATTATAAACCGACATGAAAACACTGTTAGCATGAACAATAACATTGGCGAAAGTAATATCGAAATCACTAACAATGTTAGCCCTTTGAGCGCTATACCGCTATTTGTTTCAACGACATGTAACAACAACAACAACAATATTAAAAACCACATCAACAACAACAACATCAGCAGCAACAACATCAGCAACAACATAACAAGCAACAACAACTTCAACTCTCCCATCAAACAATCAAAAGGATTGTTGTGCCTGGAAAATGCTCCATGCTATCCCAACAATGAATGCCACATTGAACACCCTAACGACAATTATTTGACTAGCGACAACAACAACAACAACCCCTTTCTCAAAAACGACAATTTCAGCAACAAAATTAATATTCATCACGGCAGTCTTCTTAATATTTTAACTAACAATGAAGATTTTGGACGAATGGGAACTTGGAGCATTGAATGTTATCCCTCAAACAGTAGCCTCAACAAAAACAACAACAACATCACCCCCACCAACAACAACAACGACGATATTTTAAACATTGACAACATCAGTTTGGTTGATGATAAGTCAAAACAAGTTTTTCGAGGGAACTCCAATTTAGCAAACAACACAACAGGTAACGAACAAATGTTGAATTGGAACGATGACCATTCCAATCAAATCAACAATTACAACAACGCATATTATGAGCTGTATCAACAACAACAACAACAACTACAGCAACAACAACATCCTCATCAGCAGCATTATCAACAACAATATCAACAACAATATCAACAACAATATCAACAACAACATCAACGTCATCTGGAAAACTTTGACCGACAACAGCTTAGCCATCCAGATCATTATTTTCCCCACGAACAACAACCGCAACAACAACATCATCAACAACCACAACAACAACAACATCATCAACATCATCAACAACAACCGCCACATCAACATAACAAAACCCATGTCTTGAACGATAACAACAACGACATCATCATCATCAACAACAACAACAGTAATAATAACGATGAAGATGATGTTAATGATGATGAAAATGATGTTTATGATGATACGGTTGAAATTAATGATGATGGCGACATCATAAGCACAGTAATGTTAGAATGGTACGCTGTTAGCAGCGGTGAAATGAAAAATAACATCAACTGCTGCCAGCAAGACAGCAACATGAACAGTGAAAATTGCTACAAAAATGTTCACACTAACGAGACTAGCAATGACACCAACGTATCCACCGACACTAACTTCATCAACAACAACATCATCAACAACACAGACACTGGAAAATTGTTTACACCAGAAAATGACGACATTAACAATAACATTAACAACATCATAGGCAGAAATATAAGAAACATCAACAACAACAATGAAAGCAAACTGCATACAAGTGACTATATACAAATCACGGACAACAACTACATCAACCAGTATAACATTAATGACAACAACATCACAAATTATGTCAACAATACGAATGACATCTATTATACAATCGACGACACCAACAAGCTTTGTAACATTAACAACACACCTGACATCAATAATTCGTATTACAATAATTCGTATTACAATAGAAACTTCAACAACAACACTAACACTCACAACAACATTAACAATAACGTGTTCAGCATTGCCAGCTGCAACTATAATATCAACTTTGATGAAATCAGCAACACCATGCACAACAATGTGGATAGTATCAAAAACAACAACACGTACAACAATATTGATAGTATCAGCGACAACATGTGTAACAATGTTGATAGTACCAACAACAACATGGCCAACAACACAAACAGTATCAACAACAACGTTCACGACAACACTGATTGTACCAACAACACCATGTGCAACAAATTTGATAGTATCAGCAACAGCATGTACAACAATGTTGAGAGTATCAACAACACCATGTACAACAATGTTGATAGTATCAACAACAACACGTACAACAATATTGATAGTATCAGCGACAACATGTGTAACAATGTTGATAGTACCAACAGCAACATGGCCAACAACACAAACAGTATCAACAACAACGTTCACGACAACACTGATTGTACCAACAACACCATGTGCAACAAATTTGATAGTATCAGCAACAGCATGTACAACAATGTTGAGAGTATCAACAACACCATGTACAACAATGTTGATAGTATCAGTGAAAACAATGAAACCAACTCTAACAGTTTTTGTGCGGAACTGAGTTTTGAGGTCAGTGATGAGGTACAACTCGTGATGAAGAATGATGAGGACGATGGTTGTGATGATGATCGCGAAGATGATGGTGACGACAATGAAAGAAATATTGAAAGAGATCCTAATCATGATTTCCGTCGCGTCAACAAACCCGACGCAGACAACGTTGTCGATGTTGGCGACAACACAAAAAACAAGCAGGATCAACACGACAGCCAGAGTGGCGGTCGTCATCATCCACGTTCTCAAATGAAGACTCACGACACCAAAAACAACACAATCGACATGAACAACAACAACGTTAATGACATCATCGACAATTGTATTTTTAGAAATCACACCACAACTTCGGAAGGAGATCTTGATCAAATAACAGCCCCTCAAACTCTAACAACACCATCATCATCTTTGTTATCATCATCACCATCATCATCACCATCATCATCATCATCTTTGTTATCATCATCATCATCATCATCACCATTATCATTGAAGTCACCACAAGTAGCGTATCCATCACCAGCACAAGTACCCAAACAAACATCAACGTCAACGACAACATCATCATCATCAGCTGCTGCAGCATCATCATCAACATCGTCGTTAATATCAACATCAACAACAATGCTAGAAACGTCATCATCATCACCATCATCATCATTTGTATCACTACCCCCTCTTCCTCCTCCTCCGCTACCTTCATCCCTTTCATCTTCAACGTTGTCATCTCCTTCATCATCCATGCCACCATCATTACTAAAACAATCATCATCACCATTATTGCTGCAACAAATATCACAATCGTCGCCACCACCACCACCATCAGTTATACCAACACCATTTATACCCGCAGCCCATGTACAACGACCTCTGAAACTTCACCTCAAAATTCCTCCACCCTTCTCACCGGAGTCATCCTCCCCTCAACCCGGCTCACCTACGTCATCATCATTATCATCACCGGTTTCTTCATCAATACCATCACCATCGTCATCTTCTTCTTCGATCCCTGACAAAATTTTGAACATGGCGGGAAGGTGCGCTCCCGACAAGAACCCCTGGACCTACCTGGTCGATCGGAGCATCATAGAGGAACACAGCAGGAGGATTAGGAGGAAGTGAGTGATGATGATGAGGATTCTGTTGTTTTTCAAGATTGAATTAACAATTACAGTTTTAAATTTTTCTGCAGTATAATGAAGCGCTGCAGCAACAAAAATCAAAATGTCGAACTTGGCAAACCATCCACCCCGGACACACCGACACCTTCCAGTTGCAAAAACAACAGCAACAACAGCAACGATGAAGACACGCCTCTAGAAACATTCATTTACGCGGGGAGGAAGAATCCTTCAAAAAAATTCTCGAAGTTGGAGACGACCATGAGGAGGATTGCTCTGGTTGAAGAAGCCAGAAACAGTGAGGAATGATTTCGTGATGATTGGTTGTTTGTTCAATAGTCAGTTTGTGCTCTATCTTTCTTAATATTTCTTTGCCTAATTTTCACACTGGCTGCAAAACAAATTTTAAAAAGTGTACCTTGATTAATTGATTGATTGAATGATTAATTGATTGATTGATTGGTTGATTGATTGAGAGATAGATTAATTGATTGACTTGCTGGCCGACTGATTGATTGATTGATTGAATAGTTGGTTCTCAGTTTATTGCCCAAGATGATTGTCCAAAATAATTTGGTGCTGGTTTTGTTGTCAAGTGTTGGCATCATTCGTCATTTACTAATTAAGTAATTTTTAAAAAATATGATTGCATTGCAGCTCCAACCAGCAACATGGCTGTAGACGGACTAGTATATAGACTTCAAGATCTCAACACATTTAATTCTGATGAACAATCAACCCCGTTCACTTTCGCTGATGATGTTTACTTGAAGAACCATGAAAATTCAAAAGATGGTTGCAGTGAAAAATGTTTGCTGAACGATCCGACAGCGGAAATTGTGACATGTTGCCAGGAACTTCACTCAAGAGGTCTTCATTACTACGCAACTGATGAGGCTGTTATGGTCAACGGAGTTAGACAGTGCAGTCAGAAATGCGCGCCAAAAAATGAAAATGTTATTTATTCTAACGCAGATCTCACATCTGCAAAGAAGGTTGATGAGGCGCTCAACGTTAACATGGTAAACAAAAATGTGAACGTCGGTGGGACTACAGGTCAGAAGGTTCTGCATGACACTGGAGATGATGGTGCTGGCATTAAGTGTGAGTATGGTGGTGGTGGCTTTGAGTCAGTCATTTTTCAGGAAATTATTTCAACGGATTCGACAAATGTGTTTTTGTAATTTTTTTTATACAGCTAAATTTTATTGATAGTTATAGTTTTCAACTAATTAGTCACAAATAATTCTTTAATATATAATTTGAAAAAAAAATTCTTTAAAACTTAAAAGAAAGTAGTAAAGTGATGTTGTGATTATTATTTATTTTACCAATTTTTTAGCGTTCGTTGGCTTAATTTTCTAAAATTTTCTGAACGCCAAATGATGATTATTCACGTAACATTTAAAAAAAATATTTACTCTAGACTGGTTATAAATTAAATGTAAAACTTGTACGAACTGTAAGATCTTTTTTAGAAATATTGAAGCTTCAAGTGAAATTTTGTTTGTTATTTAGGGAAAGGAATTGAAAAAAAATTCTGCAATTGATTATATTCGTTGAGTAACAGTAACACATCGAAAGTAATGTTTGCTTACTCTTGCCCTATTGCATTTTTTAATATGCCTTTTACCAAAAACAATGACCAGTCCATGGCTGAGTGGAGATCAGTATCAGCTACATTCAGATGCCTTCTAAATTTTAGTATTTTTTAAAAAGCTCATTTCACGATAACTCGTCATAGAAAAAGGTTAATTTTGGAATAAGCAGTAACTTCTCTTGACTTGTCGATAGTAAATTTTTGGGTAGAACAGACGCTTAACTATTTAAACCTATGATTTTCAAAATAAATAAAAATTATAACATTACAAACAAACAAAGTAATTCATGGGGCTATATAAGAAGAAACTGCGATATGATTCTGATAGGTATTCGGGCTCCTGATGAGTCCCCGGTAGGGACGAAACACGTGCCCAGGCTGTCCAAACGAATACTATCCATCTCTTCTTTTCACTCCGGCGCACTGCTCTTTCTGGTTTGGTGTTCTTATACATTAGCGCAACCGCAGCAATCTACTACTTTTTTTAAAAACATTTGATCTTGGAGTTCATGGAGCTCAGAATGAAAACGATCAAGACAATCCAGCATTCTTTCTCTGTTTTTTCTCGCAAACAGAGTCCAACGTCTCTCAATTATTCCCACGTCATTCTCTTATTCTTTTTTCAACCGAAATTCCGTTGTTGTCTAAATTTTAAAATGCCTATTCAACTAAGTAATTGCGCGTTTCGTGCAGAAACAATTTTAGCAATTGGTTAAAAAATTGTTTATGTATATGTAGAAAATATATGTAAAATATATGCATAATCTTAACATGTAATGTTAAAGGTCAAAGTGTGAGGCCAAAGGCCAAAAACTGAACATCATTCGCAATATGCACGCGACGTGCGGAAACGCCTGCGAAGCTGGACCAGGCACCTTTAACCACTAGGCCATAGCGCAAATGCATCCAAAGTTCAAAATGTGTAATTCAATTTTTATGTTAAAACTTCACGTTTCCATATAACAATCAATCGATCAATTAGTTTATAAAGCGTAATTTCCGCGATGTTCGACAGTGCTCCTCAATGACTTTTACGAACAGATGTGTCTTGATGTCTGCTCTGAACTTCGTAAGTAAGGGAAAAGTAGTCAGAAAATGAGGCTGAAAGTTTCTGGGAAAAGGGTCAGAAAAAGCAAATGTAGATTTAGCAAAAGAGTGTTTAACACGAGTTAAGAAGCAGTGAGAACAAGAAGACAATCGTTAACCGGGGCGTTTAGGTTCAATTAATGTATCTGATAAGTACTTAGGAAATAATTTAGATTGAGACTTACATATAAATGTGCAAATTTTAAAGATTATTTTATATTTTATAAGTAGCTAGTGCAAAAAACAAGATATGAAGATATACGAAAAAAGAAAACAAATAAGGTTTTTTGTTGGGTTGCTATTGCAATCTTTAACGTCGCATTCTCAGGTAACGTACTCAAAACTGATTTGCACCAGTTGGAGCTGAAAAATTCAACAAATGAACGATTAACATCAAACTATTTTCAACAATAAACAAACCAGTATGGAGGCTGTTGACGTAGAGGAAGATCTGGTCCTAGCGAGCGTATTCAAAGATTATTTGCAAGGTGTGAGCTGATTTGTTAACTGATCTATTTTTATTTTAGTTTTGTATCTTTAAAATAATTATTTTTTCATTTGGAATACCGTATGTGTCATGACATGACAGAACTTTTTTTAATTTTGCTCTACCTCTTGCTGTCCTACTCGTTCTTTTCTTTTTACTTCTAACACTAACTAAATCTAAAACTAACCAAACCCTTCCGACGTCTGTTCAGGATTGCTGACTACTTAAGCTTGGCCGGACTGGCCGCTGTAATGTTTTTTTTATATCAGATAGTTATTAAAATATTAAATATTTAATTATTTAATTAGTATTCTTATCTTTTATAATTTTATATATTTATAAAAATAATAAATGAAGCTTTGGCAAAGCTTTTATAATCTTGAAATTAAAAATGAAAGTCAGTTGACAAAACAAAATTAATTTAATTCTTATTCTCTTATTTTATGAATAACTCTTTCAAAAGCATCCTAAAATCTTAAACCAAATTGTTAATTAGGTATAATTTTGCAGTTAGTTGTTATGATTGATGAACCATAAACAATCAAAAGTGTTCTTACAGAGACCACATTTTATATGATGATTGTCATTATTGCCATCTGCTGTGTTAAAAAATTTTGTATGGATTTATAAATTTATCATTTGAGGTTTATTCATTTCTTGTATAAACTTAAAAAACATTTCTCATCAATATTTTCTAGATTAATTTTTTTCTGAACTTATATGAAAAGCGAGATTAACCAATCTCATATAATATAAATGCCTTCAACTTTTATATTCTGCAGATTCCTACCAAGACAACTCAGAGTTTTTGGTTTACTTGTCTGAACTGAGTTCTTATGGCATTGCCAAATTAAGTTAGTTCACAGTAGTTGATATTTTTTTCATTAAAAGTAGTTGTCATGCTGATCGTGTGGTCAGGTGTCTAATTAATTTATATGTTTAATTGTTACTGAGTTTTTTGACTCCTGAATGCTGGTTTTGTATAAATATGTACATCCAAAACTTGCTTTCTTAGATTCAGAACCACAGAGATTAGCCGAAGAGAAAGCTCAAATACTCGAAGAGACCAGAAGTTTAGCTTTCCATAACTACAAAACGTTCATACAAACTGCAGAATGCTGCAAAGAAATATTTCAAGATGTATTAATTTATTTTGTCATTTTTAAGTTTAATGCATATTAATCTAAGCACATTATTGCAATGTTGAAGGAACCGCTGCTGCATTTAAGAAATCATTCATTTATTTAAATCACATGTGAATTTGCAAGTAGGAACAACATCCATCCAGCAGCACACATTACAAACAGTTCCAGATCATAGAGAAGCATGTTGGGTCGATGCTGCAGAGGCTGCCTGGCCTCCTGACATCCTGTGCAACCTTCTTAAAGCAGGCACAGGACATCAATTCAAGGTGGCTCACTAACTATTTATTGGCTCCATTTGCAGAATATTCTCTTCATTTGTCTTTTTTTTAAGTTTACCAATATTTTCTGTTTTAATTTTTCTCAAGTTATCTTTTATTTCATTTAAACATTTAATTTCAACTTAAAACACGACAAACAAAGTTTTTTGTAAGATGAGTGATGTTAATTATCATTTATTTGGTTTTGTTCATTGCTTGCGATCTCAACTCATCAGTTTGTTTTTATTGGATGCAGTCGCAAGATGAACAACCTCACGCTGACCAAGTACTCACAGCTGCTCGAGTTCCTCGAACTTCCACAACTTGTCGACACGTGTGTGAGGTACTGATGATGATGACGATGGTGGCTGTAGTGATGATGATGATGTTGATGATTATGATGCTGGTAGTGAATTTATTTTTCAGAAGATGTGTTGTCATCATTCTTATCATGCTTTTCCACACTGGTGAAAATGAATAAATTAACTTAATGAACAACATAGAAATGAATACTACGAAGAAACCTTAGAACTGGCTGAATATGTTAAGAGGCTCGAAAAGAAGCATTCCAACATTCCTATTGTACAGGTACAGATGATGATGATGATGGTGGTGGTGGCGATGATAATAGTGATGAGGATGATGGTGATAGTAGTAGTGATAATATAACGTAGTGCCGTGATGTTGCATGATGAATGGAAGATGGTTATGATCCTGGAGATAATGTTATTCTCAACTGCTGGTGGTTTGCTTCCCTTTATAGCAATAGCAGCATAGGTGTGTTTCGGTTGCTTCATCGTCATTGCATCATTTCACCCTTCATAACGTGTCGATCGTATGCTGATGTTTACATCGCTTGTAATATTTATGATGAAATGACAGCATTTTAAACTGCGTAGAAAATAGTGGAAGAGGTGAAGCTGAACATGCAGCAGATGTTGAAGCAGCTGTTGCAGCAGCTGCGGTCCAACATTCAACTGCCCGCCTGCCTCCGGATTCTCGGATACCTCAGGAGGATGAACATATTCACTGAGACACAACTGAGGATCAAGTTTCTACAGGTGCTCATCATGATGATCGTGACAATAACGTAGTGATGATGACGACGATGGGGATTGCTTTGAGAATGATGAAATTCATACAAATTGTACCATAATTGAGGGGGAATTTAAAAAAACTCAGCAAATCCGAATCTCCATAGTTTCATGCGATTAATCCTTTAATGACAATTTTCAAACAAATCATTTTGAGACTTTTACCAACGTCTCTAACGTGTGACACATGCAGTTATGATGATGATGGGCTTGATGACATGACATGATGATAAGAAAATAGTAATGGTGTTGGAAATTTCGATGATGATAATAATTACTTAATGATAATATGATCGATCATGTATGACGATGAGGTGCAATCATATTTTCAACAACATCCAGACCAGAGACTCCTGGCTTCAAAGTGTTCTAAATGCCATTCCTAAAGATGATGGTAAGTAAGAACTATCTCCACGCATACACTCACATTTTCACATATCCGCAGTCACACACACACACACACACTGTCTGCATATAAGAGCATATATATGTTAGCATTATTTTTTTAAATCTTCATCACTCTTATCGCTTTTACCATTTTCACTAATAATCTCATTTCTGTCATCACTATGATGATGATCGCGCACACACACACACACACACAAACACACACAAAAACACACAGCCTACCATCACATCAGCAAAACCATCGAAGCAAGCAGGGTGCACCTGTTCGACATCATCACGCAGTACAGAGCAATATTTCCTGACGATGATGCACTCTACTCATCGTCATCATTTCTAAAGGAGCATCATCATAATCATCCTCTGCAGAACGTGGTTGGCAGACAAGTCAATGATACCTTCCTATTCCACAGCTGGGTCCTGCAGAAGGTTTCACTTATAATTCTCTTTATAATTTGATGATTATAACTCGTGAACTTCTTCATGATTCTACTCTTAATTTGATGATTATAACTTGTGAACCTCTTCATGATTCTACTCATAATTTGATGATTATAACTCGTGAACCTCATCATGATTCTACTCATAAAAATTATCAAATCCTCTGTTGTGCCTTCTGCAGATGATATGGACATGGAAGTTTTTTTTATCTCAATCTTGTTCATTCCTTCTTATTCCATAGTCGTGATCTGCTCTGCGTGTTTGTCGTTGAAACTCCTGAAGCAAGTGCACAAAAGAGATTGACCTTTAGCCTTGTAACCTTTACATTTGAGTCGACGAATTCATGTGAATCGACGTATTACGCATATTGTGTGTAAAAATACGGCATCTCTGCGAGTGAACTCGATCACTGCAACACAGAATCAGGCACGTGTAACCATTTCGCCAAATGATAATTATGAATATTAATTGACAGCATTGAAAAACAAACACCGTTCGTTAGATATCCAACTTCTTATTCGTGTTGGAGAATGATTTGAAGAGAGGTGGCTGTGGAGGCAGTGGTGGTGGTAGTAGTGGTAGTTTAGTGAATCGATTGGATTCCTTGTTGGCGCAGTGCATGTACTTTGGTCTGTCGTTCAGTCGGGTGGGCATCGACTTCCGAGGGCTGGTGGTGCCGGTTTTTGAGAAGGCCTCCTTCCGACTATTTGAGGATGCAGTCAAGGCTGCTAACAATGGGTCAGTGCCTGGTCAATCAATTTGCTCGTGCTTCATCTCGCTTTTAGTTGTAAAACATTTCATTAGTTATAATTCATTGTTCTCAAAAGCGCCCTCATAAAAACATTTTGCATTATGAATTGAAAAACTGATATGCCATTAACAATATTGTCAACAGTAGGGTACGGTACACAACAGTGCATTGCGATATCTTGCGGTACAATACACATCAGTACAACACGATATGATACACATCAGTACAACACGATACATTGCAGTGCAAAACAATACACTGCAGTACGATACATTAGGCAGCAGCATAATGCATCACACTGCAGTACAATGCTGTACACGAAAATACAGTTTACTCAATATAAACACACTGCGGTTAAGTACAATACAAAACAATGCAGTACAATATGATACAGAGCAACATGATACGATATACAGCAATACATTACACAGCAGTTCAATAAAATACCCGGCGGTACAGAGTACAATGCATTGCAATACAACACTCAATGATACAATATCTGCACTGCAGTACAGTACAATAAGCAGCAGTACAATGCAGTAAACAACAGTGCAGTGTAATACAAATACACATCACTACAATACAACTACTCTACAAAAATATGCTCTCTGTACTTGAACAGATTGCACACCTTCATTCAATCATACTCCTTGCTGGGAAGTCAGCCATCCTCAACAACGAGTACCTTTCACCAAGTTTGTTGCCGTTGATTATGTTGATGTTGATGTTTTTTAACCGCTATAAAATTTGTCTGCATACTGATTCGTGTGCAATGTTTTCTGTCGTGTTGTGTTGGTGCTTGTGGATAGAAACAAATGCGTGTTGTTACGTGACAGATGCCCTCCTCGTTCACGGGCGGCACTTCACTGAGCCTCCATCTACCACCTCGTCTGCTGCAACACCCGCCACTTGCCACCTTCACCAACGACATCCTGGCTGCCTTCAATGATTTGAGACTCTGTGCCCCCTACACCTTGCTGTGTCCTGTTACTGACCGTCTCAACGGAGCTATGGTCAGAGCCGTTCAAGACCTCCTGGCCTTCCACAAGTTAGTAGCAATGAATAATTAACTTCAAACTTGTTTAACATGCGCTTGCTAACTTTTCAGATCTCTTTGTATTGACTAGTAACCTATAAGTCAAGGTGGTTAACAGTTTTCATCAATAGGCTTTTGTGCTAATAATGGAGTTTAGGAACTTTAGAGAAGTTTGGTTGTTTTCTAAGAGAATAGAGGTTTAGATGGTTTGAGCATAAAAGTTAGAAGACATTTTGGAAAAAGTTACAAAATTTAGGAAATGAGAGAAAATAGTGAGACTAAACCAGATGGCTTTAATATTTCTGGCATAAATGCTGTTAATGATGAAATGTGAATGTTCAGTCATTTCAATGTAATAAGCTACATTCGGCCTGATGTGAACGTGCAAATGTCTGATGATTACTCACAGGATGGACGAGACGACGTTCACGAAGCAAGAAATGGATCGATTTGTTGATATGTGCTGCTGTTTCGTCGATGATCTTCTGCCGCACATCAACAGATGCCTGCAACATTTGTTTCCACCAGCTCAAATCCAGGCCTTGCTAGGAATCAATCTGGCTGATAATCTTGCTGTTGAGGTTCTTTTCATATATTCATTGTTGTTCAAGTTACTTTTTAAATTTAGCGTTTGATTCAATTACTTATTTGATGTTAGAGCATTTTTCACTAATTTGATAACGATTGAGAAGTGAGACTTGGCACTGCACACATGATGTTGAATAAACTGCACAACAGCTGTGCAATGCCTTCCATTATTGTTGTAGCCTTCATGTTGGGATTGTTGCTGCTGTATTTCTATTGATTGTTTGTCACTTTCAAGGCTGGGTTGGGTGAGTTGGATGCTGATAAGATCGCAGAACCGTTGAAGAACTTTTTGCCTCAGCCTCAAATTATTCTACCGACCGTGCTTCCATCTCCAGATGATGCATCAACTACAATTACAAATGCATCATCGACAATATCAACATCAACAGTAACAACACCCGCAATCACATCAACTATCACTACATCAATATCGACAACATTAACGAACACTACACCGGCATCAACAACACCAGGACCATTTGACACATCAACCACTCCAAGCGTAGACATTCTGTTGGCACCACAATCAACATTAACACAAACAACTCCTGCAAATGCCATTGTAGTAGCAACAACAGCTTCTTCATCAATAGCAGCTTCCTCAATAACAGCTTCTTCATCAATAGTGGCTGTAACAGCAACTGCAGATCCCGCAACCAATTCAACAGCCTCCACGACAAAAAGTGATAAATTAACGTTGGCTGATAAAAGAGGAATTGTTGACAGGACGTTCAGGGCTTGCACTGAAAATAATGAAAACATCAGCAACAACCATGACGACAACTACGACGGTCAGAATGAGACAAGTAGTGTAAGGAATGAAGATGATGTAATGCTGTTGGAAGGCCTTGTCAGCACTAAACAGTGTGATGATAATAATTATAATAATAAAAATGATAATATTAATAATAATAATAATAATAATGAAAAAAAGGATGACGTTCATCTTGCAGTTAGAGCTGATGACGTAGATGTTGGAGTTGACGTTAACGGCAAAAAAAGCACAGACGCGAGTGATGTTGAAAATTATTAGCTTGAATTATTTTTCATTTTAGGAATTTTCTATTGGGTACATTTCAATTGTTTATATTCTTGGGCTTTATTATAAATTTTATTTTTAACACGATGTAAAAATTTATTTATTAAAAAATCTAAAAATTGCGTGTTATAAAACGACAAATATATAAAACTTGATCGTTTTAACAAGATGTACGAGGATATGTTAATACTGATATTACTTGATCATAAAAACATTTCAACGATACATAATTACAAAGGATGATCGTAACTAATTACAATTAATCGCAAATCATGAAGAGAGAGAGAGAGAGAGAGAGTAGAGAAATTGTACGATAACAGTAAAATAGACCTAAGAATCTACTAAGATAAGTTTAAGCTTTTTTGGGAGTTGTCTTCTGTTCGGGAACCTTCGGCTAACTCAAGTCTTTGATTAAGTGTGTTGATTTGTGAACGAAGTGACGCTATGGTACTCTCAAAGTTCTGAAATAATTAAATAAATAAATTTTTATAATGGATGGATCACCACTGTAGATCATTCATAACAAATATCTTTATCGCGTCGCTTGCATATCCAAACTCTATGAATGGGAAGAAACGTTTATTGTTTTCAGTTAATTCTCGCCTACTATTTCTAACCGCCTGCAAGATTATTGAATAGTTAACTTTTTCCCATGATGCCGCATGAGGTTCACTTATCGTACACTGCACGCTTAATATTAAAGTAGTCTATCAGATGAGACCCAGATTTGGATAAAATCTTGAATACCTTGCGTCATTTGTGCGTTGAATTGTTTATGTCAACATTTTGGACCAGAATACTGATTTTATTGCGTGAAGCAAACAAGTATGGATCCTAAAACTCGAGAATCAACATTGGCAAGAGAAGGAAGCAGACGTTAAAAACAAGAAAATTATAAAGAGAAATGGAAAAAGCACGGAATTCAAATTCAGCTCTGAGAAACAAAAAGTGTGCAGCAGCTGATGAAATTGTTGCCAAAATTAAAAAAGTTGCCGAATAGATCAAATATCCACAGAAACATAATTATAATGAAGTATTTGACTCAATAATAAGTGCAGTTGTATAAAGGTTTAAGGCTGTTTCTTCTGTTTTTGCTAATTTATTTGCACTTCAAAAGTTTAAAAAATTTTAATGAAATACGAGGGAAGAGCTTGGATAAGGCAGCTTTAATCAGCAAAATAAATATCCAATGTAAAACAATTGCAAAGGGAGAAAGAAATTACCTGGACCATGGGATTTGGTATCATTCCTTGAAGTTTGACCTCGTACATGCTCTTAATGCTGGTCACCTGGCAGAGGAAATTTATAAACGATGTGATTGTTTGCCACACGTCTTCAATCATAAATGATTTTTATAAGGTAAAAATATCAAGCAACATTGAATTAACACAACTTCATAAAATCATTCACATAATAATGTGAGCTGTAAAGAACTAATTCGAAAACAAACATTAGAGGAGAAGCATTGAAATAGTTGTGTAACGTTAAAATGATGCAACATTTTACTGACTTGTTCGAGGAATTGTAATCTGTTCTCTTCAATCTCGTTGTCCCTCTTAACTGCCAACTCTTTGAGATTTTGATTACTTATCTCCAAACTCTGAATGGAATGTAGTGCATGAATTGCTTTAATAAAATAAATAAAACACATAGACAATCAATCAATCCCCGTTTATTGCCTCCATTCGTTATGGGTCTGACTTTTTTATTCCATTCATCAGTTTCTGTCTCCAAGCCGATCTATCCATTGCGTTTGTCTCCTTGAGACCAAGTGCCTTCAAGTCCTCCTGTATGGTCTGCGTTCAGGAATTTTTTGGCGACCTCTTGGGCGGGTGCCAGGCACCTGGTGCTCAGTAACGGAAATTATTGTATCGTTTTCGCTTCGCTTCACATGGCCAAAACCATCGTAGGCGATGACGATGACATGCATCCTTCAACGTGCACAGTCCCGATCGGTTCAGGATCTCGATTGTATGGATATGGTCCCTTAGGTCAACATGCTGCATCTAACGAATCATCTTCATGTCAGTTCGGTGAAGCTGGTGTTCGAGTTTTGCTGTCATTGGCCACGTCTCTGCACCATACATTAGAACAGAACGTATAGCTGTGTTGTTTAGTTCTGAGCAAAGCGTTAGAGGAATGCTACACCGCATCAGTACCGAGGCAAGAAAATGCCATCTGCCCCACGTTGCACGTATGCGATCAGGAACGGTGGCATCGGCTGTTCCAGTACAATCCAGCGTATCTCCCAAATACTGAAATGAAATAACAGTTTCGGTCCCGGTAATCGTATCATCATATTGGCTCCGTTGTCGCGGTTTGATGCAGGCGGGGCACACGAAATCAGTCACTTTCCCCAGTGAGCCGGTAATTCTCGAGCATCGTCTGTGACACCACTGCTGACATCGTAGGCATTTGATCGAGTTGCTTCCAACTCCAGCCCCACACACCGAAAATGGCCAATGACCAGAGACCACAGGCTTAGCGGTACCATCGGTGATCCTAGTTTTTGTTTTGTCATGGTTTACCTTTAGCCCGTGTTCGGCAAGCTGGGTATTCCAGACCTTAAACTTTCTGGCTATGTCTTGTTCCGAAGCCGCCGTCAGGATGATATCATCTGCATATATCACATTCCATATGTTATCTGAGAATATCGGTTTGGTTATTTCTTCCATCACCGTGATGAAGAGCAGGAAGCTGAGTATTGATCACTGATGGACGCCGACGTTAATATCAAATTCATTCGTGTTACCGGCTATTGTGCCGACCAGAGTTTTTGTGTTAGAGTACGTTGCCATAACCAGCCGAACCAGATATTCGAGAACAAGCTGTCTACGTAAACTCCACCAGATTGTCTCACGAGACACTCTGTCAAAAGCCTTTTCCAAGTCCACAAAGACATGGAACAGTCGCTTTTGGTTTGCCATGTGTTTTTCCTGTAGTTGACGAATGATATAGATAGCATCAATGGTGGATCTCCCTGCGATGAAGCCGTACTGGTAACCACCTATTGAAACGCACGACAACAGTCTTCTCTCAATGACTTTTTCAATAACTTTCAGGGGATGTTCCAGAAGACGTATACCCCGATATGAGGAGCATTTCAATGAATCCCCTTTTTCTTTATATATCGGCACAGTTGTGCTACTGTTCCATTCCACTGGTAGTATCGATTTACTCCATATCTCTTGACAGATGTGTAAGAGGGCTCGGAAGCCTGCCCACTAGATGCCTTGATGATATCATTTGTAAGTCCAGAAGGACCAGCCGCTTTACCTACCTTCATTGCCTTCAACGCATCCGTAAGCTTCTCAGCTGTGATGCCGTGAATCAGTCTTTCCCCGGAAGTGCATCAAAGTCCACCCCAATAAATTTTGCTTCATTCAATAACTGATCGGAGTAATCCTTTCAGTGATCCTTCATTTCATTCTGCAAGGTTATTATGGTGCCTTTATTATTCTTTATGCATGTGGCACCAACTATATCCTTTTTCAGTCTTTTGGCTTGATTTGCTATTCGGTAGTGACCGAATTTGTTTGCTTTTACTTCCAGACAACCATACCTTGCATTAATTTGCACGAGCTATCACAACCTGACATTTCGCTTCTGTGTTCTTTGATCGGTATGTCATTCGATCTTCATCAGTCTTCGTCTTCTGCCATTGTTTGAAAACTGCTTTCTTACTGGCAATAGCATTTCGCACCGTCTCGTTCCACCACCAACACATATAGACAGCTCATATAAAACACATATAGACAGCTCTGACGATATCATTAACATTCACTTTCGAATGAACGTGAAACATCAAGTAAATAAACCCAGCAACTAAGAATTCATCACATATGTGATCTTCAAAATCCTGGGCAAGGAAAGCTTTGAGAATGTAACGCTCATTAGATTTTTTTTTAATTTTAGAATAAATTTGCATTTTCAAAAGATTTCTGGCTACGTTACATTCGAAAATTTAAAACAAAACTGAAAATTTTTTAACCTCAATAATTTTAACCAACTTTAATTTTTTGTAGAAAACTTTGCTCCTTCTGCTCGAATTCGCGCCTCGCTTTAATTAACATGTCAGAACTTTCATTTAGTGATCTGCAAAGTTTTGTTCACAGTTTTGCATTTGAAAATATTGCGCTCCGTGATAAATTTGAAAGGAAAAAAATTTAAGTGAACAGTTTTTTATTTTAAAATGTGGTGTCCAATGTGGCCTCGCATTTTATCAATTATTTGAAATTAAAAGGTCTTTCTTCATTGATAATAATATTTGACTTAAAAAGCTTTTTGTAAATTGAAACAATTGTACTTGAAAACAAAAAGTACCAACATGGTAGTCATCTTGTAATCTTCATTAATCACTTCCAGAGACTGTAAACGTACAAAATATTAACTCAAGTGATGGTACAAATAATTACAATAAACTCAGTAAAATATAACATTAGTAATAACAATATAAGAATATGAACCAACGTAGAATGTGTTAATTGTAAAGAATGTCAACCTTTTCTAAACTTTCAATTTTTTCTCTGTAGGACTTTGTGAAAGATCTTATCTTATCATTAGTCTGCAACATCAATGAAAACAAATTAGTTATTCGACAACAAACAATTTCTTAACTTAAATCACATTACTGTTGTCAAAACAAACAACAGCAACACTGTTATTAGTAGAGACTGCAACAGATCTTTGTACTTGCTCACAGACGGTTTAGTGAACTCAAACTCAACAGGAAGCACTGAAAAGATGGCAAACGACCTTAATCCTAGCCCTAACTTTCCACGTAAAGAAGTAAAGCATGCACGTATCAGTGCTGCAACTTTTATGAAGAAAGAAAAGCTATGCATTATGCACGTAGCTATTGAATGGACTCAAAACTACGTAAACCTGGAGACTGCAATCATAGTTGCAGATAATATGACCATAATCAACTCGCTAGAAATAGCATAATATCAGGGCTTTGTGGGGTTGAAACAAATGAGAGGAGGCATACATGGCAGCAAACAAAAGAAGAGGACTCCAAGCACAAAGATTTGTAATCAGACAAGGAACATGTTGAATTATTAAAACCTTCAACTCAGCCAAGTAATCATGAAGGGTTTAAGGTAGTGCATACAGCAGCATTGGAACATCTGAAAGAAACTTCAGCAACCATACAAAGGCTGATATAAACCGATTTAGAACCGGTCACGTTTTTGTGGGGCTATAAAGTATGAGTTGTTCTTAGCATTGGTGAAGTATGTGGAGGAGGAAAAGAGACGGTTCGACATGTACGTGGTTCAATCAAATGCAGGACTCGCGTAGAGGCTGCAGCTTTCAACAATCTCAACTACATTATTTGCTTCAACGTCATCATCAATGAACAACAAGATCATCACCATCAACAACAAAAACAACAGCATTCACATCAGTCAACTACAAATGAAATATGAACCTTCTCATTAATAGTTTGAAAATTATTCTTGTAATGTTTCTCCATTGCTTCCCTCTCATTCTTCATTCGTTCTTCCATTTCAAAAACCTGATTCGTTATGTTAAGTAGGTATAAGTATAAGTCTGTAAGTGATTCGTCGTCTATTTGGAATGCATATTTTGAAATTGGCGAAAAACTCCTAAAGCACTAATCAATTGTTATTGCTTTAAACTTTTTAACAAACTGCTTTATTCTATTGTCAATTGTTCTATCCGATCTCTACCTCGCTAGCGTACCGCCTAAGTAGAAAAAAGTTGTAACTCTTTAAAAACTAAAAACCCATATTCTTACTGCCTCTGCCACCACATCCCGCCTTGCTTTTTCTGCTACTGCATCATTGGAAAAACTTTGAAATTGATGACTATCAAAAGAAATTTTAAATAAAAGCTTAAGACTATTTATAATCAACAGAAAAATTTGTATTTCAATAATCAAACGTATGAAAATATTATACAAACTGTGGAACCTTCGAATTGTAGGACTTTTCGAGATCAATGACCTCTTGTTGCTTGAGCTTGTTCAGTTCGTTGAGTTTGTTCGTGTGGTACTGTTTCAATGTCTTTATTGTTTCAGTTAAGTCTTCCACGTTCTGCTCCAACTGATGTGTTTTCTGATTGTGCGATTTATGGTATGTTATGGTTGTTGATGTTGGTGTTATTGTAACGACATGAGTTTCTGGTGATGTGGCAGCTGTTTGCATGGCGTGAATGTTAGAAAGCAGTACATTGCTACAGTGCATGCATGCACTACTTTATACGCTCGTGTCCTACTGTGCTGTCTTGTTATTTGATACGTTGGGAATTAATTGTATACATGCAAACATAATAGATAGTTGTAATAAAAATAAATTCAATAATATAAACAATAATTATACGATGTATATATATATATAAACACGATTATAATAAAATGATATATATATATATATATATATATATATATATATATATCAATCAATCATCGTTTAGCGACCAGAGACCCAGTTCTCCCAAGGTAGGACGTTGTTTTCTTTGTCATCAATTTTTTGCGCCAAATTAGGCGATCAGCTGTATCCATTTCATTTAAATTTAGAGATTTCATGTCTTGCTCGATTGTTTGCAACCAGTTTCTTTGGACGGCCTTTGGGACGTGTGCCAGGTACTTCAACATCTGCAAGAGAAGTTATGGCACTGTTTCCACTTCGTTTGACATGACCAAACCACTTCAGACGGTGTTGCCGGCATTCGTCCTTTATATCATCTAAACCAGCACGACACAGGATTTCGGTGGATTTGATGTGGTCCTTCAGACTAATTCGTTGCATCCATCGGAGCATTTTCATATCGGTTCGGTGAAGTTGTTGTTCCAGTTTGGTTGTCATTAGCCATGTTTCTGCACCATATAACAACACCGGACATATCACAGATTTATAAAGTCTTGATCGTTGTGGTAGTGGAATGTCACGCCGCATCAATATAGAGGCAAAGAGATGCCATTTATTCTAGGCTGCACGTATGCGTGCTCGAACGGCAGCTTCAGCTGTTCAAGTACAATCCAGAACATCCCCTAGATATTGACTTTCTCTACCTTAATGGCTTCAAAAATATTGTTATTTCGAGTTTGTTGTTGTGGATTGATGCAAGCAGGACAAACAAAATTTGACACTTTAGATAAATTACCAATTATTTTTGAACAACGTTTGTGACACCACTGGTTACACTGCTGACACTTGATTGAATTGTTACCTACACCAGCTTTACAAACTGAACAGGGCCATCGTCCAGTAGCTGTGAATTGAATGGGTTCACCATTGTTCATTGCTTCAATTTTGCTGATGTTGGCTTTGAATCCATGATCGGCGAGTCTGGTGTTCCAATCTTCAAACATCTGTGCTGCATTCTGCTCAGACGTGGCTGTTAAAACGATATTATCAGCATATATTAGATTCCAAATGTCACCAGTGCGTATCGGTTTTGTGATTTCTTCCATCACAGTTATAAATAACAGTGGACTGAGAATCGAGCCTTGGTGAACTCCAACGCCGATGTCAAATGCATCTGTGTTTCCAACCGTTGTGCTGACAAGAGTCTTAGTATTCGTATACATTTCCATCACAAGTCGAACAAGATATTCTGAAATGAGTTGTCGACGTAAACTCCACCTGATTGTTTCACGGGGAACTCGATCGAATGCTTTTTCAAAGTCTACAAAAATGTGTGATAGTTATTGATGCTTTGCGAGATACTTTTCTTGCAGTTGCCGAAGGATGTGAATTGCATCAATTGTTGATGATTTCCCCGCTAGGAAACCAAATTGATAATTTCAGATTGTGATGCACGACGTTAATCTTCTCTCAATGATTTTTTCGACAATTTTTAGAGAGTGTTCTAACAGACGTATACCCCGATATGATGAACAGTTCAATAGATCACCTTTGCTTTTGTATAGCGGAACTGTCATGCTATAGTTACATTCAGTCGGCATTGAGCAATTTTTCCACACTTTACGGCAAAGTTGTAGTAACGTTTGGATACCTGCAGTACCAGATGCTTTGATAATGCCATTTGTAAATCCAGAGGCCCCTGCTGCCTTTCCATCCTTCATAGCTTTCAGAGCTTCTGTAAGCTCCCCTACAGTGATGTCTGGAATCGGACCTTCGATGGGTGGAGCGTCAAAGTTGACATTGATGGGATTTGTTTCATTTAACAGACGGTTAAAATATTCTTTCCATCGTAGCTTGATCTCGTCTTCCCATTTGATACATGAGGCACAATCTGTCTTTTTTCGTACGCTTTGCTTGTTTTGCTATGCGATACAATAGCTTGAAAAACGTTAATATATATATATATATATATATAATATATATATATATATATAAGTTTCATTAAATTCTATCGCTTTAGTATTATCTATTAATTTTAATTTTTCTATTTTTCTAATAATGAATCGTAATTTATTATATATATATATATATATATATAAATAATCGTTTGAATGAGGCGAAAAAAAATCGTTATACTTTTTGGTCATCTTCGATCTTGACCATCAACTTGTTCCTGACCTCGTCCAGCGCGCCTGCGTGCTTGCTCCTCAGCTCATTCTTCTCCCTGCTGTGAGTGTCCTGCAGCTGCATCATCCTGGCCGTCATGATGATGATTATGATGATTATAATGATGATAATTATGATAATGATGACGACGAAACGACGAGAAATGATGGTTTCATAGGTTCGTGATGGTTATGGTTAATTATGATAGTCTCAAAAGAATAATAGCAGATGATGTCGACGACGAAGAATGATGGTTTAGAGTTTGGTGACGATGGGTTATGGGGACGACAGGAAGGTTATGGCGATGACATAAAAATATTGCCGTAGATATATAACATCATGTAATAATGATGATAAATATGAGGAAGGTAGTGATGAGGATGACCTTTGAACTGATTGTGAAGATGACTCTGACCATCAGGATAATGAGGGTGATGATGGTGATGGCAGCAAACAAGCCTTGTAGAGGAAAACCATCATTAAAAGAAACATTTAAAAGTTAAAATGGGTAACTGGTGTAATGGTTGTGTTGTATATTTAAACTTAATTTATACTAGCGAAACTAAAAAGTAGGATTGTTGTAAGCAGTTAAATAATTAATTAAATAAGTACATCAGCTGTCTACCTTTTCTCAAAACTTTCATTCTGTTTATGCTTTTCTTTCTCGTGTTTTGAAATCTAAATTATGATAATGATGAAGCTAAAATGAAGACGACGATGATAATGATGAATTGTCGTGATGACGGCTATAAAAACATGGCGATATCAAAGCAGACGAATGCAGTGAATGCATATATGATAAATAATAATTTTGATGCGGTTAACAAAATTTCAACCGTTACAGCCTGCCACAAGCATTATTATGCGTACATCTTCAGATCAATACAACCTCACAATATTTGAAAATCGTCAAAACCAAAATTAAATCACAACTCTTAAGAACTTAAACGAATGTGAGAAAGCTAAAATATCGTGATTGGTAGATAATTTGAAATGAAAGTGTTTTTTGGTAGCATAGAAAGAGGAGAGGATGGTAGGCAATTAACCAGAGATGTCACGTGGTGATAGTGCTTGGAATCATTCTCTTTCATCTTCTTCACGAATTCCTTCTTCGATTCATCCATCTGCTCAGTCATCTTCTTCAACAGAGATTGCATCTCACCCATCTGTGGTGTGTTGTTATTTTTATGATCATTCGATCGTATGGATGAGGTGATTTTAATTATTGTTATTTTCATTGCGACTATTGTGGATATCAACATAGTAAATGTGGATGATGATAATAATAATCATAAAAAAATAATGAAAACATTATTAGTATTGTTATTATTATTATTATTATTATTATTATTATTATTAGTAGTAGTAGTAGTAGTAGTAGTTTCTTTATTGTGATTGCAAATAATTCAATTAAAAATATTTTAAGTTAATATTTAAAATAATTAACAATGCCAAACATCATGGTGAAACTCGAACGAACGAGCTTGGGTCAAATAACTGATAATAATTATAGATAATGTCTTGGAGGGTGCAATCGAGGGCAAACAAATCCAGGCCAACCAAGCCCCCTCATAGGCTGACCAACCATCAACCCTAACCCAGCCATCAACCATGGAGACAAGGCAGACGATAAACATGGTCCGAGGAGAGCAACTTACTGAGTATAAATGCATTCAAATGCCTCCAACTCAAATAAGTTTCAACAGAGCAAAACTAGTCGTCATTTCAAATAAAAATTTAATTTCTGTTCTTTGCTAGCTTTTCACTCATTTCTTCATACATACTTCCTCCCATATATTTATTCCATCCATCTATCCATTCATCAATTCATTCATTCATACATACATCCATTCATTCATCTATCCTCCATTCATTCCAGCATTCAACAGGTAGGTTGGGAATGAGTAGCAAAGATTGCGTAATTAAAGAGGTCACGTCATGACATAAAACCGACACAACCTTTGCTTATCACATTGCGAAGAATAAGAATGAAGCCAACAAGATCATTTCATATTCATAATCAAGCTTCTTCACCGTTATCACAATTTCACCAAAATTAGCATCACGATCACATCACCTTATCATCATATTTCTTTCGTTCACTATTCATCAAGACGTTTAGTCTATCCAACTTATCATTCAAATCTGTCATTTCTTTCGAATGTCTGCTGGTCAGGACTGCTATCTCTTCATTCTTCTGTCTGCCCCAATGTTAATGTGGAATGTTTGTGCATGTTGAGTTGTCGGTTGATGTTACGGTTGTTGGTGTGGTGAATGATGTGGTTGTTGATGTCATTGATGTCGTCGCTGTTTTAAAGTAGCTTTTGCACTTAAACATCATTTGAAATCAAATATTTTGAACGTTTAATACAATCAGAATTCCGAAGAAACAAACTTGGTGACGCTCTCATAATTTTCAATGGATTTCTTGTACTTGTGATTGCAGTCTTCGATTTGTATCTGCAACCTCTGCACCTATAAAGTTGGTTGAATTATTAAAATGCAACATCTCAATACTGCGACGGAAGAAGTGCACAAAAATTAATAAATTGGATGCACGACTCCACGTTCACATCACCATCATCATCATCATCGCCATCATCATCACCACAATCATTATCATCACTGCCCCCTCCAAAAATGAATGATAACTATTTTGTTACAATTGTAGA